ATATATATATATATATATATATATATATATATATACGTATACAAAGGATTGTGTCTTTACTTGCATGTTTTGTATGTTTTTTTGAAAGTTTTCAGTTGTATTGGTTTTATTGTAATGATTCTCTGCCAGTCAACAATGAATTTAATTGCAAAAGGAGGAAATATGTTTATTATCTATTTTTTTAGCATGAAAAATGAAAATTCAACTGAGCGTTGTTAAAGCGATGGCTGTTGTGGCGTTTCAATGTAAGTCGGCGTGGAATATACCGTGTATCCATCTTCAATACGGTAATGCTTGATTGTTAATGCGTCGTCGAGGCTTTGGACTATAAAAATATTTTGTATGTAACATTCGCTTACATTTGTAATTCAATTTGATAAGGCTATCTAAAAGTTCGAATTGTTACGATACCTCCGAATGTTATGTCTTGTATTCCAATTGGGATGTCCGTCTTATCCATTATCCTCTCTTTCAGTGTTTTAATGGTATCCATCGCCGAAATGTTGATTTCAATTGTTTGCCCGGCAAAGTTTCGTGTTTTGTTATAGACAATCACGTTGAGACGCCTGAAATTTCATTACTAGCGAAGAAGGAATTGCTTCTTGTGATCTTACTAAAATTAAGTAAAAGTCTAGAAGTATTAAGCAAAACATTAGTACTGATATTAGTATACTTTTTGACTTTTTTCTGAATATGAAAGCGATCCAATTAAAACTGCACAAATTGTCATAAAAATAGATAAACAAGCTATTCTTGGATTTCCATATGAAATTATGCACTGAGAAGGCTAAACTTTAGTTTACGTTGATTACCGAAGTGTCAGAACTGCCTGAACATTCAGTATATTGCTCTCCAGTTGCTGACGTAACTAAACACCGATATGGCTAAACATCAAATCTTCCTAAAGAAATTCGGGATGTTAGCCGCATAATCACTCAAATATAAATGCTATAGGTGGATTTGAAACAAACGACAAATTGAAATTGTTAGTAACTTACATGGTATTGTGCAAATGACAACAGGGAAGAAAGAAGAAATGCAAAAGTGAAGGATCTGATCACAAATTGGCTGAAATGATTGCCTTACATTAGTTCGCCACCTCTTTCTGTTGGTTTTGCCGTTAACGAAAGCTTATTTTAAAGGAATCAAGTAGTGCAGTGAAGTTGGATGAATTGAAATGATCGAGTTTTTGAAATCACCTGCTCATCTCCTTTCCATTATCACGTTTCACCTATTCTTCTCAATGCTTTTTTCTTGCAAACAAGTTAAGGATGAATTTACATCTCGGAATGCTAAACGTTTAATCCATCTTCCCGTCCCTATTACTTACGCAGTACATCTGCGACTCAGTCGTTCGATAATTTATTTTAATCAAAATTAGTTTCAATATTTCTTTGAAAATTTGTTGCATTCAAATATATGCTTCTTCCACCGGGAATGCGGTTTTCAATTTCGGTTTGTAAATTTCAACCTGATTCATAAATCCAGTTAAAATAATGAGGTGGATTCTACGTGCTTAATGACTAAAAACTTTGTATTTTCAAGCATCCATAAAAATAATTCATTTTTATTTTTTCCATTAAAAAATTTTTAAGAAAACAAAATTTTCCATTTTTTTTCAAATATTTGGAAATACTGTTTGAAAAATCTCTGATACAAAACAAAAGCATTAAAAATAGCAAGCTATGAATTGATCAAAAAATATTTATTCACAAAATTCGACAATAGTATCAGTAATGATAGCCTTCGAAAAGTCGTATTTCAGGATGTGCAAAGTTAGTAGCACCATCAATTTGTTCATACGCATCATTTGTGGATTTTTTCGTCTCTGCTGGTTCTATTACAATCTGGAATTTCATCATTTAAAAAAAAAAAATCATTTCTTTCAGTGTAACAAAAATTTTTTATACGAACAAAACGAAATTGTCAAAATTTACTAATACGTATCAATTTCATTCAGTATTTCATTAATTTTGAATGTTTTAGTAAATCTGTTGCTTGCAAAAATTGATAAACTAGCTAGTATTAATTAATGAGATGATAAATTAAGAACTAAGAAGATTAAAATATTATTGAACTGCTATGAATTTTATCCGAAGATCATAATAAAAAAAATGACTTGCATACGATTTGCAAAAATGATTAAAATGATTTGCATATCAAAAATAAAAAGAATTTGTATACGTCGTTAATTTTGTTTATTGCTGGTGGATTACGCAAAAGTAGCATGAGAGGAGCATATACAAAGTTTATTACTGCAATTATACGAAGCATTCTGAAAATTATTGTAACTTTATAGTGATGCTGCAATTAATTCTTCTTTGATTAATCAAATTGTTGAAATGAAATTGAAAATAATACTTCAGTTATAAACGAAATAGATAAAACTTAATGAAATATTCAATTTTACATAAATAAAATTTTCCTCAAATATGTTTAGTATTTTTTTCTTTCTTTTTATTTAATTACTATCCGCCTATTTCTATTATTCCAACTTGCAGAAGCAAAATTGAGTGTGTTTGCAGTTAGTTGTAATAATTGTACATGTTAATTAAGAAACTCACGAAGCGAATCCAACAGAACGGACTAAAGGACCAGAAAAAAAAGGACCCAAAGCAAAAGCAAAGCAAAATGCCGCATCTGCAATTGCATATATTGATCCATAAACACCAACATGACGAATATCCACCAGGTGACCCATCAAAGGGAACATCGACGCATCAATCATACCTTGAATGCATCTCCTCAACTTCAATAACTTATTGACATCTTACATTATTGATGCAAAATGCATGTTCTATCAAATGTATCTAATTAAATGACACCTTTGTCTTACCAATCGAGAATCCCATGAAAAAATTTGGTACCATCAATCCTCCAACTCCTTTAGCTGCCGGAATCTAAAATTATTGCAATAATCAATTAAGCATTTCAAAAACATTCTCCATCTTTTAGTTCCATCTCTATATCCATTTAAAAACTAAAAATCTTTTTCTGAACAACGTAATCAAACAACTTACAACGATTAAGCAAATGCCGATGATTATGAGACCCAGAAAACTGCTCAGCCAACTGGAAATTAAAGAAATTTTCAGCAATTTAACGTTGTTTTTTTTTTAAACTCACAATTTCAAAAAAACACATGTTCAAATTTTTAAAAAATTTTGAAATATTACAAATTATTTTAAAACGAAAACAAACCGTCCGATTTTATGTGCTAATGGTCCAAATATATTTGTACCAATCAGGTATGACATACTAGCCGGAAGAAAAGCGATACCACGTTCAAATGAACCAGCCTGCCAAGATTCCATCATCCATAATGGTAACGATGGTTCCAGCATTGCTATTCCAAGATTTCCGATTGTTATTGATCCTGAAAATTACTGAAAATATTACATAAAAAATTGTGAAAAAAAAAGGAAAAAAACATTGCATATTAAAATATATTACACATCAATGAGAAGTAATGTTTGAAAATAATTAGCAAGCATTTGTTCAAATTTTAAAAATGAACAAAAAAATTCAATATCAATTGATGAAAATTGAAGAAAAAAAAAGGAAAATAGTAACCAGCAGCAACAATAATATATGGATCAGTGGCAAGTTCTTTTAAACCAGTCCCCTCCGGTTCACAACGATCTATTCGCGGTTGCAATATCAAAAATTGCAGAGCTATAACGATATCAATTTAATTCTTCCGATTTTAAATATTTTGTTATTTATACAAAAAAAAAATTTTTTTTACTAGAAGTGTAGTTAATTAGGTAGCTAAGCTCTGAATCTACTCCGTTAGCATTGTCTTTAAAAATTCATAAATTCTCAAAGTTATTTTTAAAAAATTTTGTTTTCTACTATTATTAGCTTGTCAAGGAGTAATCTTTTTTTTTTTAAACCTGTTTACTTTAGATGTTTATATCAGCTTTCTGAAAAAATAATACTTACAGCCATCAAATAAAGCTAATAGTGCAAGAAGTAAGAATGGCAACTCTTTGCCTGACCATTGGTATAGAACTCCTCCATATGGTGGTCCAATAAGTAAGCCAAGTGCTAGGCCACCCAATGCTATACCCATAGCACTACCGCGTTCTTCATCGTTCGGATAAGCTTGTGCAAGCATTCCCATGCCTGTTAGATCAACTTAGATATTCAGAATGAATGTTTTTTCTTTTTCTTTCTCCTTATGAATATAATCATTATTCAAACGATATATCCGGGAATTCATTAATTCTCGAATAGCATATTTTCTTTCAAAATATTGCAATTAATAATTTTCCGCTATGTCGAATATAACTTTGGGTAAACCTGAAGTACTTGTACATGCAGATCCAACACCCTGTAAAGCTCGAGCAAGCCAAAGTACAACAAATGATGTACCAAATGTAAACATTACAGTTGACAAAAACATAACACAAAAGCCAATAAACATCGGCACTGTATAGCCAATCCTGCAATTCGTTTAAGCAATAAGAAATTTGAAAAGTTTTTTCCGAGAAAATTTGAAAAAGTGTAGGATTTTTTTCTCAGAAATTTTGAATAAACAAATTATAATTGTACTTTGTTAACTTCTTAATAAAAATTATTTCATTAATTAATGAAATGTAAAATGAATATGTCGAAAATTTTATATTACTAAACATTAGTAAACTGATGAATATTATAATGAAAAACTAACTTATTAGTAAGCGGGCCAATCCATGGATTTGTAAGCAATTGTACAAGGGCTTTTGATCCAAACATTAATCCCACATAAACATTTTCTTCAGCTAAAATATTGTGTCGTTTCATTTCTTCTGCAGCATTCGGCATAACTTTTTGATTCACTTCTGTATTTTCACTTGTAATGGATGCTTCTGTTGTCATTGTTTTCATGCGTTTAGTAGTTCTTCGAGATGTTTTACCTGGTAAAAATTTACGTGTTATTATGAAATTTAAATTTACTATTGAATTTCAAATTTCTAATTGAACAAAAAATTGAGATTATATGATGTGTTTTAAAACTTTTCAAAATTTTTTTCAGTCATCTAACCCTTCTGAAGTGGTTTTTTCCTTAAAATTTTGTTTTTACGAAATGGATTCAATGGACCACTCTGCCAATCCGTTGCTACATTCATATCCATTGGAATTTCCCAAGCATCATCCCAAATGAACGGTTGCCGTTCATTTTCATTTTCCTCTATCTCATTTTCATTCTTCATTGAGGTAGCACGTTTTGCTCGTGAATGTTCTGATATCGGTATTTTATCATACAGCAGTAGATCTGTTGAATTTGGATGTAACAATCGTAAAAGATATTCCGGTATTATTGGTACTGCAATAAGAAAGAAAAAATTCCTAAAATCATAGAAATTAAAAATAAAAAATTTTTTTCTAAGGCAAATATAGATAAAAATAAACAATAAAAATTTCACTTTAAATCAATCCTTAAATTTTTAATTATTTGTCGAAAATTCTATTTATTTGTGTAGTAAATTTTTCACTTGAAATGATAAGAACATACCAACGGTAGTCAGAAGCATATTATCCAAAAATAAAGCAATATATACAATGAATAATAGCATCTTTCGGTTGTGTCGATATTTATTAATTAATTCAGTAAGCGCTGCTGCCATGTTATTGTCACGATCCTTTTTGTTGCAAAATTTTTTTTTATTTCAAAATTTTATTAATTATTGAAACGTAAGTGTATCATACAAAGTTTTCACGTATCGTTCATTTTTTTTTAGCTGGATGAACTATTTCTTATGTACTAATTAAGTCTTGCATATTTAATTCATACCAAAGAAATATAGTTAAATTATATTGAAATAAGTTTTAACTTTCAATGGATGAATCGAAGAGAAAAAAACATCTGTGGAAATTAATAACTAAGAAAAGGAGAAAATAGCAAAAGAATAGAATTGGGCAGCTTATTAAAAAACGCAATTAAGGCAAAAAAAAAGTAGAATTTTTTCAGAAAAATAGATTTTTCAGATCAAACTACAATGTGTTAAAGTCATACTAACATCTTATCTTTGATAACCACAATAAGATACTTTTTTAAAAAATAAGTACCATACGTTCATTGATGGTATTGAAATAATGTATTTATTTTAAGCAATATTTCAGTTTAACTTGAAATTTCAAATGCCTAAATGTCCTGATTCAACTTCAGAGTTTCAGAATGGGGCACTTTTTAAGATTTTCATCCTGAGATTCTGGAATTGAGAGAGAAGCAAACTCTTTTTTTGAGAGAGAAAAGCAAACCTTTTTGAGAGAGAAAATTTTGAAAGAGAAGCAAACCCTTCTTTTTTCTTCCTTAATCTTAAACAGTAATTTAAACTTTTTGAAATGACGTCACAAATAGGATCAGTTTCAATAGACCAGTAGCAACGGCATATTTAAGATTTCAATCAGAAAAAATTCAAATAAGAAAAGTGGTTTGCAGAAACAACAATTATACCAATAAATTACTCGGAGCGATATAAGCTAGCACTCATTATTTTCCTTGCTTGAAATTACTCCTGCAGTTTTGCTTCAGTCGAAACATTCATATGATTGGATATTATGTTTAAACCATTTTAAAATTTCGTTTGTCATTATGATACATATAAAAATAGTAATATTTATACTTATATTTAATGCAAAAAGACAGATACAGATAACTTGATGCATTTATTAGTTACCAAATATAAATAAATTGTTAAGCATCTATCAACTAAATATTCCGAATGTTAGCATAGTATCTGGGATTACTTGATCATGATATTAGTAAAGATTGGAAACTTGCTTATTTGATTGTATATAAAATGAATTTAATTAAACCTACTGAATTTGCAAAAGTGAAAATATGGGTTGGGAGAAAAAATCAATATGACATTTTTTAAATCATCATTCTAGATTTTCTATTACGGTTCATATTATGATTTAATATGAAAATAATGGAAAAAAAAGAGAGAAAAGAAGAAGGAAAAAAGAAACTTGAAATATTCATAAAAAATTTTATGACAAAACGATGACGTGCTTACATCATGATTATACTTCGCTGGATTAATCTATTTTTTTTTTAGACATTTTCTTCGAGTTAGAAATATTTATTCATGTGTTAAAAAACTGAACAAATCTATTATCCTTGTCTGAAATACAATTTCCTGGAGAGTAGATTAACAAAATAAATTATCTGTGTTATTCCGATGAACTATCATCCGAATGATTTATGTATAACGAAAAAGATGTATGTATTTAGAGATCACCAACTTTTGAATATGCAGTTTATTGTATGAAGTAAAATCTTAAAACAAAAAAAAAAATTCAAAACTTCGTGCGTAACAAAAAGAAAAGGAAAGCAAAACATCTTAATTTAATTGCTATGCAAAAATTTTCAGATTTAGGAACTATTTTGAAATTAAAAGTAAAACATCGGTTTATGTCTTCATGTTGAAGAGCATTATAAAGAATATGCAAGGTAAATAAACTTGTTAGTTAATTTTATTTAAATCATCTAGAAAATCTTCGAATTTCATTTTTTTTGAATGAAATATTAAATGAAATTAACACCAAACCTGCATTTAGAAAATTAATTGATCTGTTACGACTAGGTAGAATCAAATCTGAAAGGCTCTTAAACTTCAAAGGTTCATTTGTTCTCGATATCCATCGAGAACAGATAAACCTTTGGAATTGAGTTTTTTTTTTTTTTTTTTTGCAATTACATACTTGAAATTAGAGAAATAAAAACTGTCAAATTGTGAACTCGCCAAGAATGTCGTCTTTTGGCTGAAAGACTATATGAAATGCTCAGTTATTGCTTTTAGAACTAAACTTTACGAGTGATTTAATAATTTCATTAATAAAATAGCAGATATTGAGTCGAAACGATGAATATCAAAAGCTGAAGTGAATCAGATCTGATAGCGGTCAAGCGTAGTAGACAAAAGGAAGATGTTAGGACCGAAGAAAAGAAATAATATTGCATAGGACGATCATATCCTTCTCCAATTGAGGACAAATGCTTTACTTAAGTCATTGAGGATTATCCATGAAATGAGCGGTAAGGGGTGAGGAAGGGAAATAAATTATTAAAGAGGATTGCAGAAAATTTTGACTGCAAATGACACTTCACAGAAAACAATCAAGAAAAAGCTTATTACTATGAAGAGGACATTAAAATGCTCCATTTCGCGCTATAATATGTTTGAATAAACAAAAATAAAAGTAGCAGCTGGAGAAGTTTTGAATTTGAAAGAGGAAGAAGAAGGAAAAAAAAAGAAATCACTGCTCAATAAAATTCACAGAAATCGTTTTTTATTACCTTTTTCAGAATACACAAGTAATAAAGACACTATTAGCTTATCTCTAAAAAGTGAAATTTGTAATCACTCTCCGTAACGTCTTCAAACCTCCTCATACCACATCAACTTTATTATCTTTTCAAGTGGTAATATTTCAATAAAGTTAAAGTATTTATTTTTAAGAATTAAACCATATGACATAAATGTTACATAATCTTTGTAATTCATTTAAATCAGACAGTTTTAAGAAAATTTTATGACTTATTCTGCATACTGCAACAGTTGGAATAACAATTTAACATTTTTCCTTGCTGCATCTTCTAAATGTAAAGTCTGAAAAACTTGAATGAAAAAGGTGATACAAATTGGACTGCATATTCAACCTTAAAAAGGACAACAATTTCATGAACTCGTCTAGTGGAAGATGGATGTTGAATTCAAAAAATGGACAATTTATAATTACGCGAATGAGAAAATGCAATCAAAGTGTCTCTTTTCACCACAATTATTAGTTATATAAATGATATATTGCACGGAAGTCTATCAACAACTTAAATACACCAATATGTCGCTACTCGAAAATCCGTTTAAAAAAAAGAAAGGATTCCATCATTTGCGACTGTAGCTCTTTCTTATTCTTTTTTTTTTTTGACTCTATTAAAGATGTTAAATATTCTTGGATGCTAAATGAATGTAATTAATGATTGTAATCAGATATGCAATGCAACAAATAACAGTGTTTGAACTAAATCGATAAATTAATCGCAAAAAGATCAAAGTTAAAAATAACATAATGATGCCATTCAAATTAAATCATAATTATTTCCAAATTCAAAGTTTGATTACAGTATTGTTTAAAAAAATTAATAATGATAA